TATTCTACAGCCATACACTCCTCCAGCTCAGAGGCAACAACTGTAACCTGTTTTGTATATCCTTCCAGAACGATTCCATCCATATACCACCCCCCCCACCCTCTTTAAACAGAAAGACAGCACTCTCCAAAGTGCATTCTGCACCTTACTTTTTTTCCCCACTTACTCTGTATCTTGGAGACAATTCTATATCAGCACATAGAAAGCTTACCTTGTTCTTATTTACGGCTGCATGGTATTCTATTGTCTGCATGAGCCACAGTTTATCTAACCAGTCCTCTATCACTGAACAGCTGGTGTATTGCTAATCTCTTGTTACTAGAAACAACACTGCAATAATTTTCCTTGTACGTTCATCGTTTCGACTTGCATGAGTATAAATGTAGCAGAAATTTCTGGCAGTGGAATTATTGCATCAAAGGGTCAGTGCATTTAAAATATTTGTAGATATTGCTAAATAGGGTTTATACCAACTTACCCTCCCCCCAAAATGTGTGAATGCCTGTTTCCTCACACCTACACCCACACGGTACGTTACTGAACTTCCCAAACTTTGCCAATCTAGTACTTGAAAAAAGTGGTTTCTCAATGTAGTGTTAATTTGCATTTCTCTTATTCTGAGTGAGGTTGAACATCTTGATACATGTTTCAGAGCCATTTGTATTTGCTTTTCTGTGAACTGTAGAGATAATTTGCCTATTTTTCTATTGGGCTGTGGGTCTTTATTATTTATTTGAATGTCCTCTTTATACATCAAGAGCACTATCCTTTTGCATGACAAACGTCGAAAACAATTTTTGTAAACTAGTTGCTTTCAGACAGAAATGAGAAGTTTCTGCAAGTCGCATCATTTTCTGCACATCACTGCAAGGCTGCCAAGGGCTAAGGGAGCAGTTGTGCCGTGGAGAGTTCTAGAAGGCGATGGTTGTGGGGGGGTGCGGGAGGTGATGTGGACAAGGAGGCAGTTGTTAGCTCTTGCACTAGGTGGAAAGGGCTGTCACAGAAAACAGTGAAGTCCCCATCACAGAAAATGGGGCAAGACAGGTTGGCCTGGCTCTAAGACCCTTTGTCCATCATCTGAAATGTGTGAGGATAGACAGGTCCAGAATGGGAGGACACACCAAGAGGGCTATCAATTTTTGATCATTTAGGCCTGATTGGGTGGTTACTGCATCTGGAAGCTCCAAATAGCATTATTTTATAGTAATATAAACACCCTAGAATGTAAATCCATGAGGCCAGGTTCAAGTGCTGAATAAATAGTTGTGGAATGTATGAATGAATGAATGAATGAGTCTAATCAAAAGATGATTCGAGAGGCTGCTGTTTCTGAGCCAGCAGGGAGCCTTCTTCCCCTCCCTCTCCCTTGGAAGCCGCCCTCCTCTCTTCTCTCCTCTGACCCCCTCTGAGTCAGGTCTTAGCATCTCTCGTCTGGTCCATGCCCCAGGCTCCTGCCCCATTGCCCCGGTGCCCAGGCCCTCCTGACTCTCCAGTCAACCCTCCTCTCCAAAGAGCCAGATTCACTTCAAGAAGACGCAAGCCCATGAGGTTGCTCCCCATTGCCTACACTTCCTAGCCTTCCCTTTGAGGCCCTTCTCAATCTGACCCTTCTCTGGTCTCCTCTCCTGCAAGCCCTGCTCACCTGACACCCCATGTTCCTCCAGCAATACTAACGGTCATGTTCATTGAGTACTTACCATATGTACTTTTATGTGGATTATCTTGTTTAAGCCTCACAACAATCTATGAGATCTATCAGGGTGATGCTGTCATTATCCTCATTTTAAAGATGAGGAAACCAAGACCCAGAGACATTTAGGGGCTTACTCAAGGTCACCCAACCAGCAGATGACAGAGTTGGGATTCAAAACTCACTTAGTCTGACCCCAGGGCTGGAGTGCCTAACCACGGCACTAGAGCTAACTGGTTACCAGTCTTGGAGAGTGCCATGCCTGCCTTTGCTCACGCTGGCCTCGCCTGGAGGGCTCTCTCTTCTATTGTTTACCCACCAAAAATCTTGCTCATCCCTCAGGGTCTCACTCATACATCACCTCCTCTGCGAAGCCTTTTCTGGCTTCCGCAGAAAGAGCTGGTTTCTCATCCTTTCATTTTACAATTAACAACTTTGTGCTGTGGTAATTTGGGGACCTGTCTTCCCTATCAGGCTGGGAGTCCCCTGGGGGGCAGGAGTTGTTCTATGTCATCCTCTAGCGTCTGGCGCAGAGTGGGTGCTCTCTAAATGATGGCGATTGAGTGACAGTGGCCCCAGGACTCCTCCCCAACACAGTTGTGAAGGATTGCTGGGTGTCTCCAGTTGGAAACTGGGAGGGAGTGGGAGATTGGAGGGCCCCCAAATTGGAGGGGCTTCTGTGTGAAGGGGCAGCTGAAGACATTTTCACTAACTTCACCAGTTGTCCATGTGTTGGGACTGCCCTCAGGGGATCCAGGCGGTAGGGAAGTTTCATCCTTACACTACCCCCAGAGGTCTTTGGGAACCAGCTGTCCCACCCCCAGGGGCTTTCCCCTCCTGCAGTGCCAGGAACTGAACCATGATGGCAGCGTCTCTGGATGCTGCAGGAGGAAGTGTGGGCAGAGCCCCCATGCTCAGAGCTTGGGCCGCCCCAGCCAGGGCCCTTTGGACCTTAGAACCTAAGGGGTTACACGGCTTTGGTAAGAGGGTAGTCCCAGGGTGGGTGGGTACTTCCTCAGGGTGTGAGGGAAATTGCTTCACCCGGAGTTGTGGGGTAAGAACTGTCCCTCGCAGCAGCCTTGTCACTCTGCCCTGGCTAGGACCGTGGGCAATCTCTGAGCTTGCTCCTCTTGTAAAAGCCCTTAGGCCTATCTCTTTGGCTCCTGGCCCTAGCCAACTGACTTCTCCCACTCTGACTGCCTCACTCGGGAACTTATTAAGGCTGCCCCGGCCTCAGGTCCAAATGCCTCAGCCTGCAATCGCTACATCCCACAGGCTGGTAGACAGGAGGGCAGAGCAGCGGGGAGCATGGACTCTGGGTTAGCCAGATAAGGGTCAGAATCCCAGCTCACTGTGTGACCTTGGGTCATTCACTTCACCTCCTTGAGCTCTAGTTCTCTCACCCATAAAGTGAGGATAAACAAATTTGAAAACATCAAAATTAAGGATTTGTTCAATGGAACAAATTTGCTCAAAGGAAGACACCATAGGTCAGTGGTTCTCAAACTGTGGTCCCCGGATCATCAGCATCACTCTAGTACTTGTTAGAAATGCAAATTCACAGGCCCCGCCCCCGCTCTATTGAGTCAGAAACTCTGGGATGTGGCTAACCAATCTGCGTTTTAGCAATCCTTCCAGGAGATTCTGATGCATGCTACAGTTTAAGAATCGCTGTCATAGATAAACCGAACAGATGGGCAACATATTGGGAGAAGATCTTTGGGACATCAGAATTCAACAAGGGATTAATATCTAAAATGTATAAGCTATTCCTGCAAATTAACAAGAGAAAGACAAGAAACACAACAGATAATGGGCAAAACATACCAACAGGCAATTCATTGAAGGCGAAGCCCAAATGCCCAACATGTATCGAAGGAGGTTCTGAACAGAGAAAAGCAAGTTGAAACAACACTGAGATGCCACCTTACACCCAAACTGCAGGCAAAAATTACCAAGTTGGAGAATGTAAAAGCTCATGAAAATGGGGGGACACAGTGGCCTTCACACGCTGCTAGTGGAGCCATTTTGCAGAATTTAGTGAAATTTAAAACGTATATGCCCTGTGATGTAGCAATTTCACTCTTGGGTATAGAGCCCAAAGAAATTTTCACTTAAGTTCATAAGGGTTGTGTACAAAGATGTTCATCCCGGTGGTGTTTGTGGTAAGAGAGAATTGGAAGCCACCCGAGTGTCCATCACTGGGGGAATGGATAAATAAAACAATAGATGCTCAGCTTGGGATATTCTGCAGCTGTTCGATGCACTAAGCTAGATTTTTCCTACAGCAACATGGATTATTAAAAACCATTTTATAGAGTGACAAAAAGGAAGCAATAGAATGAGATCCTTACACAATACCATTTATGTGGTGTAAACACATATATAAAGCATTGTGTATTGTATGTCCAGGAACATATATCAACACATAGGGGCGGGTGCCCATGGTGGGGAGGGGAAGGAGTGTGGGGAATGTGTAGATGGAGTGGGAAAATAAAGCAAAACGCCAGAAGGGGCTTGCATGGGCCCATTATGATGGGATGGCCATTTGCCACAAACTGAGTGTGAATCATGGAACTCTCTGGACCTGAAGCCCCAAGAACAGTAATCTTACTTTAACATTGCTGATAATAGGCGCTGGCCCTGATGGCCTAGCGGTTAAGCTTCAGCGCCCACCGCTTTGGCGGCCCAGGTTCGCTTCCCAGTAGGGGAACCACACCACCCATCTGTCAGCTGCCATGCTGTGGTGGTGGCTCACATAGAAGAACTGGAAGGACTTACAACTAGGATATACAACCATGCACTGGGGCTTTGGGAAAGAAAAAAAAAAAGAGGAAGATTGGCGACAGATGTCAGCTCACGGCAAATCTTTCCCTGGAAAAAAACAATTGGTGCTAATAGTACCTGCCTCCTGGTAAGTACCATGTCTCTGGCCATGGAGGTCTCTGTAAAGTTTTACAAATACATTTTAGCTCTCCTATGAGTCTCTGGCCTCCTCTCAGGGCTTACTCCTTTTAGCCTCCAAGCCTTTACTCAGGCTGTCCTTATCCTGACTTCTCTCCCTCTCCACCCTGCCTTCAGATGTCTTTGACCACCCCAGGCCCCTGAGATGGCTGCCTGAGGAGTCTTGGGTACTTTTCATTTGGGACTTGAGCAGGGAGCCAGGCTGTAACAGAGCCCTGAGGGGGAAGTCCTATTTCCTCTTCCCAAAGCGGGAGCTCCCTGAGTGTCTTCTTACATCTCACCCCATCTCAGTTCCCATCCCAGTGCACCCAGGGTAAAGACAGGTAAACTGAGTCAGACAGCGTTAGATGTGGAAGAGAGGGGCATTTACTGAGCACTTATCACATGCTAGACCCAGCACGAAGGTCCTGACCTTCGTTAATACCCATGACCACCCTTTAGGTAGGTGGGCCCATCTCGCCAGACAGATGAGGAAACAGGAGGCACAGAGAGGCCAGGACAACAACAGGAGGAGGCCTAGGTCTGCCTGGTTCCCAGTCCAAGATCTACCTGCTCAGAGTCCTCGGGCCAGGACCCCAGGTCACCACCTCTGGGTCAACTCTCAGTAGAGAAAAACCTCCATCGCACTCTGATGATCCAATTCCTGCCATCAGGGGAGGGGAGACTCTGCCATTTAGAGGCTTATAAAGACCGTCTATACTAGCATGGCCAGTTCGAGGTAATAAGATATTAGGAGATCCCCTCAAGTCCCTTCTCTTTTGAACCTCAGTTTCTCCAGCTGTAAACCGGGAGGAGCAGAGGTCTCTGGAACTGTTTTCTCAGTCGGCCAGCAGGTGGAGCCCACTCTTCATCCCTGCCTTGGCCTCTAGAAAGCGCCGAGTCGCGGGGAGGAGTCGGTGTCCGGGGCCGAGCCTACGAACTAGCGGGACAAAGAAGGACGCAGCCCACCTGCGGGGGGCAGAGGGCCCGCTGATCCTCGGGCGACTGCCCAGGGCTTATAGCCCCGCCCCCTGCAGGACATTCTCGGTACTGCAGGGGCCAGAGCCCCGAGGGCGGGGACCGAGACCTGGGAGAGCGCAGGCCCCGCGTCGGGGTGTGAGGAGGGGCCCCTGGGGAGGGGGCCGCACGGGCAAGAATGAGTGGAGGGGACCCAGAGGCTGGGTTGCGCATGGGCGTGACTACAGGCTACAGGTAGTTGTCCTCGGCCGCGTCATCCCCGCCGGGGGAGCCCCGCGCCTCCTCGTCCGTGCTGTCGTCGTCGTCGGGGGCCAGCGCCTCGATGTCGTGCGTGATGTCGGCCAGCAGCCGGTGGAAGGCCTGCACCTCGGGCCGCTGGGCCGCGCCGTCGTAGCTGCGCACGGCCGACGCCGACGTGGAGCTCATGCTGCGCTTGATGCGGCCGAAGCTGTCGGTGAGGATGCCACCCTCGCGGATGCCCACGCCCTCCAGGAAGCCCTCGAAGTAGCCGATGTCCTGGTCCGGGATGAAGGGCCGCATCCCTGCGCGCCGAGGGGCAGGGTGACTCCTGGGCTTCAGCCCTTCCCCTCCCACAGAGGAATCACCTTTTCGGGAGATCTGAGTTCGAATCCCCGCCCCGCCACTCACTGGCTGTGTGGCCCTGCACGAGTTGCTCCACTTTGTGAGCCCGAGAATGACATAATGCTCGGCACACAGTAAATGCTCACTACATGCTCGCTTATTATTGTTGTTATTATTATTGCAATTGTTACAGTCCCATTTATTAGTTGCCTGACCCTCATTAAATAACTACCTGAGCCGTACTTTCCTCCCCTGTGAAACTGAGATAATTGCACCTGTTCTCCCGGTAGGGGTGTGAGGATTAAATAAGGTCCTTAGCACACACTAAGTGCCCCATAGAAAGCAGCTCGTTTTGTTCCCATCTCTACTTATTAGCTATGTGACTTCAGTACTGTACTTTGCTTCTCGGAGCCTCAGTTTCCTCATCTGCAAAATGGGAGCAGGTAATAGTTCCTACTTCCCAGAACTGAGGCATTCGTTGAGATGGTGCTTGGCACACGGTGACTGCCAAATACATGTGAGCTTATTTAATATTATTATTCCTGTTGTTATTATTAGCTTTCCTTACTAGCTATGTGATCTTGGATAAGTTCCTCAGCCTCTCTGAGCCTCAGCTTCCTCATGGAGAAAATGGGAAGAACTCTTCCCTCTCCCAGCTTTGCTGTGAAGGTGAAATGGCTATACCAGTGCTCTGTTCTTATCAGCTCTCTGTGGCTGCAGGCACGTTCCTTCCCCTCTCTGTCTCCTCATATGTCCCATTGACCTCATGATCATGGCCTTACTGGAGGCTGAGGGATAAGGAGTAAGTACTCCCAGGCTGGTGCCTTGGCCGGCCCTTGGTGGGTGGGGCAGAGAGCTCACCGAGAAGGAGGAACTTTCGCCGCTCCCCATAGAGCTTCAGCAGCCCCGCGCAGTAGTCCTGAATGGGCAGCCCCAGCCGGTACTCCCGCAGCAGCAGTGCAAACTGCTGGATCTCGGGCGGCCCCAGCTTACTCCGCAACTGTGGGAACACCACGTGAGGTCAATCCCAGGGAGGTCCCACGCCCAACCCCTGCCTAAAGACCCGGAGCCCTCTCGAAGGGCAGATTTGGCTCAGCCCTCCTCTGAAAATCCTTCCATGGCTTATGGGGGGACAGCCAGACCCCTTGGGCTGCATCTGAGAATGGGATGTGGACTCAAGCTGCCTGAATTCATACCCTGGCCCCTTCACTGAGCAGCTCTGTGATCTTGGGTTGGTGACAACCTCCCTGACCCTTGTTTTCCTTATCTGTGAAGTGAGGCTCATGATGGAAACTCCCTCGTGGGTTGTTGAAAGGATGATGCACAAAAGGGGCTTAGGACAGTGCCTGGTATACAGCAAGCACTCAATTAATGCTACCTGACACTATTTAAGGCCTTTGCTAAGCTAGCCTCAGTTTCCTCTCCTAACCTCATGTCCCACCCTGACCTCTGAGGTTTTATGCTTCCGTTATGTGCAGGCTTACATGATTCCTGAAATATCCCCACGTTTTCTCCAGCCTCCAGGCCTTTGTGCTGTTTGCACTGCCTGTCCCAGCTCACCGTGACCATGTAATCCTGCAACTGCTCGAGGCCCAGGCCACTGTGGTCGCTGCTGCTGCAGTGGGAGCCATGGAAAGAGGGTGTGGACGTGCCGCTGTAACATGCTTCAAATGTGTCCTGGGAGCCATTGCTGCAGGGATAGGCAGACAGGGGCCCTCACTCACCTCACTCCAGCTCCTCTCCCTGAAGAGGACTGAAGGTGGGAGGGCACAGCTGCTGATGCTCTGGGCCTGGGGCCTCATCCAGATTCAAGGCCCCACATGATCTGCCTTGTCTTTCAAGCCTCCTCTCTCGCTGGGCTCTCCCTTGTTCTTTATGCTCAGGCCACCCTGCCTTCTCCCTTTTCCTCTAATACTCCAAGTACTTCCCCACCTCTGGGCCTTTGCACATGCTGTTCCCTCTGCTTGGAATGCCTCTCTCCCCCTGTCTTTTACTCAGCTAATTCTTAGTCATTGTTGGATCTTAAATGTTGCCTTCTCAGGAAAGTTTGCCCTGATTCCCCCAGACTGGGTTAGACCCTCTGTCAAATGGGTCACAGAGTCTATAAATCTACCCATTATATGCAAGGCCTTTCCAGATGCCCCTAGCAAATGTCCTCCCTGACCACTCTCTGCCGCAGCCGTGGCGCCTCCTGACGGTTCTTCCGACACACCGAGCTGCATCCTGCCCCAGCATCCTCGCTCTTGCTCTTCCGTCTACCCCAGCGCTCTTCCCCTTCCCTCCTCCAGGTCTCAGCTCAAGGGTCATCGCCCCAGAGGCCCTCCTGACTCCCAGATGAGGGGAGCCTCTCTGAGCACTCTGAGCCTCTCTTCCGTGCTCATTACCATCAGCGTTTATTCCTGTTAAGTAATGGTTTCACTGTCTCCGCCGCTGGACTGTAAACCAGGCAAGAGCAGGGAGCTTGGTTTCCTTTGTTTGTTAAGCACCCGCTACGTGCCAAGCGCAGGTCTCGTCTTGTCTTGTCCCCACTGTAGCCCTAGCACACAGCACAGTGCCTGGCACGTGGTAGGGACTCAATAAATATTGCTTAATAAAATGTCAGCCTCCTTCCTGGTCTCTAAACTGTTCCAGAACCATCTTCCATTATCACCTGCAGAGAAGCAGTCTGGCTTAGTGGTTAAGGGTGTGGACTCTGGAGCCAGCCTGTGTGGGTTGAAATCCCAGGCCTACAACTTACTAGCTGCTTGACCTTTGGCAAGCTACTTAACTTCTCTATTCCTCAGTTTCTCCATCTGTAAAATGGGATGATAAAAATCGGTGTCGTGAGAATGAGAGGAGCTCATATTTGTAAAGCACTCAGAGTCATGGACTATAAGCAATAAGTAAACAGCAGTCCCTGTAATGTTGCTGTATTGATTAAAAAGAGTGAAATGCTTCATAGGACAGTACTCGGCACACAGTTCGATTAGTCATTATCACGATTGTCATCTCTCCAGGAGACACCAGGCTGTTTAAGGACCTGCCCCAGGCACACGGGATTAGGAAGACAAATATATTGCCACTAAAAAGGAAAAAAATGAAAAAAAAAGAGGGCATCTATCACTGGCAGAGACTACTACTTGTCAAGCTAATGGCCTTAATAACAGAACTAGCTCGTCCTGGTTTGCCTGGGACTTTCCTGGTTTTAGTACTGAAAATCCAGTGTCCTGGGAAACCCCTCAATCCTGGGCAAACTAGGGTGTGGTTGGTCACACTAAACAGAACCCCGGACAATGTTCCCAATGGAGAAATTTTTTCCTTTAAATCCTACATTTTCCAGCCTTGCCTACAGCTAGTTGTAGCCATGTGACCAAGTTCTGACTGATGAAATGTAAGCAGAAGTTGTCAGGTGGGAATTCCAGCAAAGTCTTTAAAGAGGCACTGGCATGCTACTGTGATGGCTGGAGCTATGACCACCACCTTGGTTCATGAGGTAACCTCGAGGATTGAAGCAAGTGCTGAGGAGGGAGGAAAAGATAAGCCTGGGCCCGCCATGACCATAAGGCCATGAGCTCCTGGTCTATTTTGTGTGAGAGATAGGGGGAAAAGTGCTCTATCCTGTTTAAGCTTCTATTTTAGGGTTTTCTATTATGTAGAATGAAAACCAAAGTAAACCAAGATTATTTGTGGGCACTAGCTGTGATTTTGGACTCTGCAGGCCACCGTCTCAGGATGACTGGGAGAGAACCGCAGGCCTACGTGGACCGCAGTTCTGGGTTCTGGTTGCCCCATGGGCCTCTCTGAGGTCTGGATCCTATGAGCTCCTAGGATCCCAGTTTACCCCACCCTCAACGCTCAGTGTCTCAGCACAAATCAAGGTAGGCTCCCTTTCTCCCACGCTCTCTTGCCCACATGGGACTCAAGAATGCCAAGGAGAACGACCCTGTTTGTGCAGGGGATGGGGGCAAGAGTGGGGTCCCTGGCAAGGGCAGTACCTACAAGGAGCTGCAGCAGCTGAAGTCAGCGTCGTAGGCGTAAGTCCCGTCCGTGCGGCAGCTGTCACCTGCGGCCGGCAGACAGAGAGGCTGTCAGAGGCAGCCAAGAGGGCCCAGCCTCCCTGGCTCCCCGGAGGCCCCACCTTCCTCCCCACCCTGGGGTCGGGATGGAGGCAGGAGGCTGGGTGGCACTGGAAGCAATGGTGAGGGTGTGAGCTGTTACCCCGAGTGAAACGGGCGGCCGGTGGAAGATGCTGACCCCGACTCCCGCCCCACCAACACACAGCTGACCTCGGGCAGCTCGCCTTCCCTCTCCTGGCCCTCAACGTCCTCAACGCCGGACAGTACCACCTCCTGCCTGCCTTATGGGGGTCCTGGGGACAGCAGGCTAGAGGACAGGTGAGGGAGCATCTTGGAAACAGTATGTGTTTGAGGCGAGACAAAAAAAGAGCTTTGGAAGGGGGAAGGAACTCAAAATCTTGAGAAGAAGCCCCATTTCCAGAGAACTTGGTCTGCACCCAGCCCTGTGATCTCACTGAGTGCAGGCACTTCCTCACCCTTCGCATCTTGGCTCCCTCAGTGTCACTGCCTTGGGACCCTCCCCTGACTTCCCAGGCAAGGAGCTTCCGCCTGTACTCCTCACAACACAGCGTGTGGCTACACTGTATCTGTGTAAGATCTAAGTACTCTTTGCCGACCTCAGTAATGCAAGTGAGGGCAGGGCAACGTCTGGCTTTGCTCACCAGTACATCCTGGGGATTAGCAGGATCCGGCACATAGTAGGTGCTCAATAAATATTTGTCACATGAATGAATTTGTTGAAATATTTGTTCAGTTATCTCATTGATTTGTCCACTATTCCTGTGAGAGTCAATGAGCTATCCCACCTTCCCACAGATGGGAGCGCCTCCAGAAGGAAGGAGCCGGCTCCCTGTTGCTGGAACTATGCAAACAGGGGCCACGTTGAGGCGCTGTGGCTGAAGAAGTTTACTATAGCCTTGAAGGCAGCATGGGTAGTGAAGCTGTTGCAGACAGAATCTTTAGAATCAGACACACCTGGGTTTGCATCCTGACTCTGCCATTTCCCAGCTGTGTGATCTTCAGCAATTTATTGACTACTCTGAGCCTTAATATCCTTATCTGTAAAATTGAAATCATACGGTCTCGGAGGGGTCTTTCATCTATTCAGAAAATACTTCTTGAGCATCTGTGCTGTCCCTGGTCTCATGCTGGGCGCAGGTGATACAGTGGCCAACAGGACAGACAAGGTTGCTATGAGGATTCAATAAGACTTGGCACATAGTTGGTGCTCAATAAATGCCTCTATTAGTCTCATTCTCGTTCCAGCCCTTGACGGCATTCAAGGAAACCTTCAATTTCCGGTCTGGAAATCGTGGTTGTGACCTAGAGTCCTAGTGGGATTAAATGGCTGAGTAAACAGACAATGTATGTGCTTAGGTTTCTGCAGAGCAGGGACACTAGAAACAAAGGGGAGAGAAGTTCAGCTGACGGGGCTTGTTCTCAATCTGGCGACCAGAACCTCTATGAAGAGGCCAGGTTTGAGGCCACTTTGAAAGTCGGCATGTTATTTTAACTACAAAGCAGGGGTACACTGTAATCATGGTAGCGATCAGGACCCCTAAAGGCTTTGATCGGCCTGAGTCCTGGGGCATCCCCCCTTCCCAGCCTTCTGAGATGTTTGTAGGAGGAGTGGCCAGGAGCTCGAGTACTCACTGCGGCTGCAGAGCCAGGGCCGTTCGGGTGTGGATGTGTAGTGGTAGCCAGCCCGGTCCACGCACTCGATGCTCTGGTCCCCATAGATGATCTGGAAGACCTGACAGATGAGGGCACAGGACTCCTCGGCAGCATCCTGGCCCAGGGAGGAGGATAGAGAGCTCAGGCCCTCACTAGTGACCAGGATGCCCCTGCTTCCTAAAACACTGTGTGAGGAGGCTCACAGGGGCACGCGTGCACACACACACACACGCACGCGCGCACACCTGTGGATGCCTTTAAATCAACTTTGAGGATATTTCCCATCAAAGTTATATGGCCATTCTCTGAGTCTTGGACCTATTTACAGAATCCAGCAACAGCTCTAACTCTTTGCCCTGAAAAATGCACACGTGCACCCCAAATTTCTGGGGGATTCACCGGCCCTCCTGAAGCTTATCTAAAATAAGCCCTAATTTAGTTTAATTTATAGGTAAGAAGCTGAGGTCCAGAGAGGTGAAGTGATCAGCTAGGACCAGAACCCAGGCCCCCTAATACCTACTAGGAGGAGGAAGAATTAAATGTATGAAAATTTTAGGCTCAAGATAGTTGCTGGATGCTATATTTAGATATGAGCTTCCTGGCACCAAGGGAACAATGGAAGCAGGATGAATATAGAAACTTCAGTCTCCAATAGAAGGAAGGAATTTAAGTCCTTGGGTGGAACTTTTTTGAGATTGCAAATTTGAAGAGGAATTTGCTTTTTTTAATTTATCTCTTTGTGTCTTTAAGCAAGAGACACAAAAAGATAATAACTGATGAAGAGACCATCTTCATGAAGCCATTTCCTGTTTTGTGTCTCTAAAAAAAGCCTAAGGTGTAAATTAAAATGTAACCCAGGATAAAAAGTGAACCAAGAAGAAACAGAGAATCTGAATAGACCAATCACAAGTAAAGAGATTGAAACAGAAATCAAAAACCTCCCCAAAAATAAAAGTCCAGGACCAGATGGCTTCTGTGGAGAATTCCTTCAAACATTCACAGAAGATTTGATACCTATCCTTCTCAGACTTTTCCAAAAAATTGAGGAAGGTGGAACACTCCCTAACACATTCTACGAGGCCAACATCACCCTGATCCCAAAGCCAGATAAGGACATCACAAGGAAGGAAAATTACAGGCCAATATCGCTGATGAACATAGATGCAAAAATCCTGAACAAATTTTGGAAGACAGAATACAGCAATACATTAAAAAGATCATACACCATGATCAAGGGGGATTTATACCAGGGACACAGGGATAATTCAACATCTGCAAATCAATCAATGTGAGGAATAAAAACCACATGATCATCTCAATAGATGCAGAGAAAGCATTTGACAGGATCCAACACTCACTTATGATAAAAACTATCAATAAAATGGGTATAGAAGGAAAGTACCTCAACATAATAAAGGCCGTATATGACAAACCCAAAGCCAACATCATACTCAGTGGGGAAAAACTGAAAAGCATCCCCCTGTGAACAGGAACAAGACAAGAGTGACTACTCGCACCACTCTTATTCAACATAGTACTAGAGATTTGGGCCAGAGCAATTAGGTAAGAAAAAGAAATAAAAGGTATCCAAACTGGCAATGAAGAAGTGAAACTCTCACTGTTTGAAGATGACATGATTCTCCATATACAAAACCCTAAATAATCCATCAGAAAACTATTAGCAATAATCAACAACTACAGCAAAGTTGCAGGGTACAAAATCAACTTACAAAAATCACTTGCATTTCTATACTCTAATAATGAACTAACAGAAAGGGAACTCAAGAATACAATCCCATTTACAATCACAACAAAAAGAATAAAATATCTAGGAATCAATTTAACCAAGGAAGTAAAGACGTATACACTGAAAATTCTAAGACATTATTGAAAGAAATTGATGATGACATAAAGAAATGGAAAGATGTGCCATGCACACGGCTTGGAAGAATAAACATAGTTAAAATGTTCATACTACCTAAAGCAATCTGCAGATTCAGTGCAATTCCAACCAGAATCCCAATGACATTCTTCACTGAAATAGAACAAAGTATCTTAAAATTCATACGGGGCAACAAGAGACCCCAAATAACTAAAGCAATCCTGAGAAAAAAGAACAAAGCTGGAGGCATCACAATCCCTGACTTCAAATATACTACAAAGCTATAGAAACCAAAACAGCATGGTACTGGTGCAAAAAACAGGCACACAGATCAATGGAACAGAATTGAAAGCCCAGAAATAAAACCACACATCTATGGACAACAAATCTTCAACAAAGGAGTTAAGAACATACAATGGAGAAAGGAAAGTCTCTTCAATAAATGGTGTTGGGAAAACTGGACAGCCACATGCAAAAGAATGAAAGTAGACCATTATCTTTCACCATACACAAAAATTATCTCAAAGTGGATCAAAGACTTGAAGGTAAGACCTGAAGCCATAAAACTCCTAGAAGAAAATATATGGAGTACACTCTTTGACACCAGTCTTAGAAGGATCTTTTCGAATACCATGTCTACTTAGACAAAGGAAACAAAAGAAAGAAAAACAAGTGGGCCTTCATCAGACTAAAGAGCTTCTGCAAAGCAAAGGAAACCAGGAACAAAATGAAGAGACAACCCACCAAACTGGGAGAAAATATTTGCAAATCATATATCCAACAAGGGGTTAATCTCCAAAATATATAAAGAACTCACACAACTGAACACCAAAAAAACACACCACTCGATCAAAACGTGAGCAGAAGATATGAACAGAAATTTTTCCAAAGAAGATATACAGATGGCCAATAGGCACATGAAAAGATGTTCAACATCACTAATCATCAGGGAAATGTGAATCAAAACTACACTAAGACATCAACTTATACTCCTTAGAATGGCTATGATCACCAAGACAAAAAATAGCAAATGTTGGAGAGGATGTGGAGAAAAGGGAACCCTCATACACTGCTGGGAATGCAAACTGGTGCAGCCACTATGGAAAACAATATGGAGATTTCTCAAAAAATTAAGAATAGAAATACCATATGACCCAGCTATCCCACTACTGAGTATTTATCCAAAGAACTTGAAATCAACAATTCAAAGAGGCTTATGCACCCCTATGTTCAATGCAGCCCTATTCACAAGGCCAAGATGTGGAAGCAGCCCAAGTGCCCATCGATGGATGCTTGGATAAAGAATATGTGGTATATATATGATGGAATACCACTCAGCTATTACAAAAGACAAAATTGTCCCATTCTCAACAACATGGATAGATCTTGAGGGTATTAAGTTAAGCGAAATAAGCCAGACAGAGAAAGACAAACACCGTATGATTTCACTCATATGTGGAAGATAAACTAACACATGGACAAAGAAAACAGATTAGTGGATACCGGAGGGCAATGCAGTTGGGGGTTGGGCACAAGGGGTGAAGGGGCTCATTTACATGGTGACTGACAAACAAGAATGTGCAACTGACGTTTCACAGTGTTATAAATTACGACCTCAATTAAAAAAATGTAACCCAGGATAGGCATTTTGGAATGGGGAATGTCCTAATCATTAAAGCAGGATTGATCCTTAACCCTACAAAAGGGACAGAGAAGAGAGGATTCTTATTTCACAGTTAAAGACCCTGAGGCTTTGAGTGCTTAAGTGACTTGCCCAGCTCACAGCAGGCTCACAGCACTGGTTAAGACTGCATCCAGGTTTTGACGCTAACTCTTGAACTCTTTTTGGGACCATGATGCCTTAGGTAGGAGGCCAGAGGCTCAGATACTCCTGGAAAACTACTCTACTTCTATTTACTGATTCCACAGATTCTCATTTAGTTCTAATGCTTGGCAGGCACTGGTCTAGGCTCTGGGCTCCCAGAGGTGAATTAGATGAGGTCTGTACCTCAAAGCCCTCACAGGCGAGTGGGATAAACAGGACACACTGGTCCCTCTGCCTAGAATTCACTTTCCTGGCTCTTCGCCCTGCTGACTCCATTTTTTCCTTCACATTGCAGCTTAAAAGGCACCAACTCATTTTCCCTATGGAAAATGGATCTCCTCCCTCATTATCACCATAACCTGCTTGTTTTCTTCTTGCTCCCCATTGCAAAGCGTAATAATATAATGTGCAGTAATTCATCCGTTCATTCACTATTTACTGAGCATCTGTTATGTGCCAGGCACTATTCTAGGTGCCGGAGATACACAGTGAACTATCCAGAGCACGTGGGTCTCTCGCACTCTCCAAGTGTGGCTGGAGTGAAGTGAACCAAGGAGAGAGTAGAAAGAGATGAGGCCAGAGAGGGAATGGGGATGGTGGATAAGGTGAGTGGCCTTATAAGCAGCCATAAGGAGTGAAATGGGGAGCCACTGGAAGATCTTGAGCAGTGACACAATGTAACATGTGTCAACAGGACTGCTCTGACCATGTGGGGGACAGATTGTAAGCAAGGACCGGATCAGTGAGGGGTGACTGCACAATCTAGGTGATAGGGGATGGGCATGGACCCAGGTGGGGACAGTGGAGGGTGGGGAGAAGATGGATTTTGGTTATATTTTAAAAATAGGGACAACAGGACTTGTTGACAGAGTGGATATGAGGGGTCTGTGTGTGAGAGAGACAGAGAGAGAGAGAAAGAGCGAGGAGCCAAGGATCACTGTAAGGTTTTGGTCTGAGCAACGGAAGGACAGAGCTGCCATTAACGAAGGCAGGGAGACCAGGGGAGGAACAGGTTTGGGGGAGAAGATGGGAGCTCGGCTGCGGATGCGTTAGGTGTGAGATGATCATTAGACCGTCGAATGAGAGACTGAGTGGAGAAACTCGCCCGGAGATTTGGTAGGATACAACGTGGAGTTCTCAAGTGCTTTAAATGCCATGAGCCTAGAGGAGATCACCTAGAAACGAGTGTAGAGGAGAGAAGAGGAGCAAGGACTAAGCCTGGAGCACTCTAACCTTAAGAGGCTGGAGAGAAGAGGACGAACCAGCTCCTGAGAAGGAGCAGCCTGGGAGGTAGGAGGAAAACCAGGAGAATGCAGAGAGCTGGACGCCGAGCAAGAGAGTGCTTCAAGGGGGAGCCTGTCAGCTCCGGAGTCTGAGTTTCTGGTTATTATCCATCTCTCCCTCTAGCCAGGCACCTGTCTGTCTTCTTCACCACAGTGTGTATAAAGAGGGAGTTGGGTCAGAGGAAAAGCTTAGAAGGCTCAGGGCTGGAGGCTGTCTGCTGGACTGTGAGTTCCCTAAGGGGGACATCAAATGTGTCTAGTTCCTCTCTGTATCCATAGCACCTAGTCCAATGCCTAGCACAGAGTGCCGCTCAGTAAACATGGTCAAATAAATAAAAGCAAAATTGAACTTGGAGGATGGGAGGGAGGGGAGGATAGGGAAGGTAAGAATGGTGGAAAGGCTTCTGCCCTGGGTGACTGCCATAGTTAGCAAGAGTACAGGCTCTGAACTTCCTGGGTCCCAATGTTGAAATCGCCACGTGCTTCCTGTGTGACCTTGCACAAATTACTTAGCCCCTGGATCTCAGTTTCTTCCTCTATCGAATGGGGATGGTTGAAATATCTGCCTCTAAGGGTTAATGCTGGTTCTGTGTCTGGCATGGGTTGGCATACGATTCCTGCTGGTGATTAGTGTCATCATAATTGTTACTGTGGTAGCGCCGACAATGACGACATTGGAGAAGGAGCAGGGCCGGAGGGGGGGTTAGATCAAGGCTGTTTTGACCATTTTTTTTTCATCCCCTTGGGACAGCAAGGGGGAGGTGTCCAGGGCTGGAGTTTAGAAACCGTTTGGCCTGATGGGCACACAGGTAGTACCTGCGTTGGGTAGGTAGGGTAGGGTAGACCTGGGTAGGGCCGAAGGAGGGAGAAGGAAAGAGGTCGGGGTAGACCTCAGGAACCCCGTGAATGGGGCGGAGTGGGAGGACGCCCGGGAGGCAGCGCGCAGGGGCGCCGGGTGCCCTCGGGCTCACCCTGTTGGCCACTGCCAGGATGACGAGGTTGCAGTAGGCGTCGGGGCTGGGGTCCTGCGGGTCCAGCGGGTTGGGGCCCGGGTGGCGCCGCTCCCAGCTGCCGCCGCCCGCCTGCCTCCGCTCCCAGCTGCCGCCCAGCTTGCCCGCGCCGCCGCCGCCGCCGCCGTGCCGCCGCTCCCAGCTGCCGCTGAACGTCTGCCGCCGCTCCCAGCTGCCAGACGCCCGCGCCCCGGCGCGCTGGCGCTCCAGGCTGCCGCCGCCGCCGCCCCCGGCCCGGGCCTCGGCGCCCGCGCCCCCGCCCCACGCCATCCTCCAGTCCAGGCTGCAGATGGTGTGGCGTCGTTCCGTGGTGCCCACCCGCCGCTTCTCGGGCGCCGCGCCCGGCGGACCCGGGTCGCGCCCCGCGCCGCCGGGGCTGGCGTCTACGCCGGCCGGCACCGGGTCCACACCCAGACCTAGGAGAAGCCGGTGGCCGTCAATCGCAGAAGATCCGGCCTAAGAGCCGCCTGCCGAGGCCAGTTGGGGTGCCCGACCCTGCCACCCAAAGGTCCACCCGCGCCTGGCCCGGCCCCTGGCTTCGAAGACATGCGGCCAGACCCGCCCCCACGCAGCATCCTTATATTTGGGCCACGCCCCCGGCCTCAGGCTCCACCCCTGGTTTTGGCTCCGCAGCCCATTCCCACCAGCCAGCCCGAACCCTGTCATCTGGTCTAAGGGTAGTGGTCAAGCTGTCCCCTACCTCTGTACCCTTAACTCGGACCCTGTCCTTGGTTTCAGGGCGACCTCCTTGGATTCGGTTTCCCCTCAACCCCGCCTCCGACCTCAGGCCCCGCCCCTAGTTTGCCGTGGTCAGACCTCTCCCACCTGCTGCCCCAGCCGCGAGCTCCGCCTCCCCGGCGTATGGCCCCGCCCCTAGAGCGGACTCCGCCCCTCACCCGAGCCTCCCTCCAGCCTCAGGGCCTCCCAGTCCTGCTCCCCTTCACCACGCCCTTTCACTTCAGGTATTGGCATTCTGGCTTCTCCACCCTTCCCAGGCTCCGCCACCTGGCCTCAGGATGGTGGGTCAGGCCGCCCACTCTTCATCCTCAACCTTGAGCTCCGTCTTCCTGCATATGGTCATAGCCCGGCCCTAGTCTCAGAGTGGTGTCAGGCCTTATCCATCACCCCATCATCCAGCCTCAGGCTCCGTGCCTTCCCTAGGTCACGCCCATTCCCAAGGCTAGACCGTTGGGCAGTTTCTCTTCCTCTTCACCTCCCGGCCCTGCTCCCCGGCCAGGCCCGGCCCGCCGTACCGGTCTTAAGCACTAGCAGGTGCAGCGCGTCGTCCTGCAGGTAGGAGGCGGCGGCGATCTCGTGCGTGGGGATGCGCAGAATGAGCTCCTCGTTGTCGCGCCAGGTGAGCAGCAGGCAGCGGGCGGACAGGCTCAGGATGCTGTCCTGCTCCGCTGTGGTCTTCAGCGGCAGCTCCTTCAGCTGCTGCAGGGTGGGTCGGATCTCCTGAGTCCCCAGGGGCCTCGGGTGGGAGAGGGAGAAGGGAACGAGACCCTGCCCTCCCTGCTCCCCAGAGCCTCACCCTGGCCGTGTCCAGCAGCTGCAGGAGCTCGTCCCGGCTGGAGGGGTTCAGTGAGGAGGTGACCCAGGTGAGGTGGCCCAGGAACTGGATGGGAAATGGGGCGGGGTTTGGGGTGGGAGAAGGGCAGAGAGAGGTCAGCCTGAAGGCTTGGAGGACCCTGACTTCCTCACTGCCGCAGCACGGGCAGACTAAGATAGAAATCTCTGAATTAATGATAATAACCTGATATAACTGATATTAAGGTGGTCGTAGAAGTCAGACACAGTCCTGAGAGCTTTATGCACATTCACTCATTCATCTCGGCTTTAAGGATGAGAAAACTAAGGCACAGCAAAGCTAAATAACATGCCCAATATTATATAGCCGGAAAGGGCCAAACTAAACTCCCCCCACCAGGGCCCACAACCCTGCTGCTAGCTTATGTTGCCTGAACACAGTTATTTAGCTAGGACAGAAGCAAAAGTCACTATACTAGCTTGAAAGAACTGACCGCCTGTGAACTTCCACTTGGCCTGAGTGGCTCTGTCCACCCCAAGCACCAGTGTCACCTGACTGTGCAAGTCACTTGTGCTCTTGATGATCTCATTGCAGAAGTTAAACGGAAAGGGAAGAATGTTCTGTCGAATTGCTATACAATTTTGTCAGAACAATGATGCTCCAAATCGATAAATTAGTTCTTCACTCATTCTTAGTTGTAACTTAATGTTATCACTTAACTTAGAGGTTATTTAATATGAGAATTAACTTTTTTCATTATTTTTGGTTTTAATCTTCTAGGTGAATTCCACCAATCACACCTTTTCTTTTCATTCTCTCTGAGATTTCAGTCCCCAGCTTTTAAGTGGATTTGTTATCTTTTTCCTCCATATAGGGTTCCAGATAAAATACAAGATGCCAGTTAAATTTGAATTTCATATAAACAATGAATACTTTTTTAGGTTTTTTTTTTTTTTTAGTCCCACACAATATTTGGGACATATTAATACTACAAAAGTACTCATTGCGGGGCCAGCTCCGTGGCCGAGTGGTTAAGTTCGCGCGCTCCACTGCGGTGGCCCAGAGTTCGGATCCTGGGCATGGACATGGCACCACTCGTCAGGCCATGTTGAGGTGGTGCCCCACATCCCACAACTAGAAGAAGCTGCAACTAAGATATACAACTGTGTACAGGGCAGGTTTGGGGAGATAAAGCAGAAAAAAAAAAAAAGAAAAGGAAGATTGGCAACAGTTGTTAGCCCAGGTGCCAATCTTTAAAAAAAAAGTACTCATTGCTTATCTGAAATTCAAATTTAATGGGGCAGCCTGTTTTTGCTAAGTCTGACCCTCCTACCGCCATATCAATTTTCCTTGGGTAATGAGGATTCTCTGCTGCTCCTTCATGGTATTCACGAGGCAAAAGTAAAGCCCTTGAGTGGTCTAAGTCCCCTGGGGCTTGCTGAACTGGGTTCCTTTATCCCGGACACTGTTCAAGTAACAACATCACCACGGTAAAATCTCACAGGAAGGTGGGGCTTCTCAGTACACAGTGCACTGCCCCCACCGCTCTCCCGTGGGGGTAGGTTTTGAGCCCCATGTTGAGATGGGAGCACCGAGGCTGAGCAGAGGGATGTCACTTGCTGAGGGTCCACAGCATAAGGCAGGGGCGAGGCTGGCTTGAACCCAGGCCTCTTTCCCCGGAGCCTCCCCTTGTGAGACAGGGCTGGGCAGAGGTTGGTGTCAGGGAGAGGTAAGGTCTCTCGGGATGGGGTCCAGGACGTGCTACCCCAAAATGTGGCACCTTGGCATACTGAATATCTTAAGCTGAAGGACTTTGAGAAAGTGTCAGAAGCAGGAAGTTCGCTCTGACCTCCACCCCATCACCCTTCTTCCCTGAAAACCAGGAGATAAGTCTCCCATGTGAAAGGTGCCCTCCCTTGTATGGGGAGGAAGGGAGACGTCCTTGTCACCAGATACAGGGGATTTAGGGCCGGGCAGGCTGTATAAACAAACCCTGTTACTTCTTCACCTCTACTACCCCACGCCCAAAGCCCTCTGCCTTGTCAGTTGCTCACAGATTTATTGTTTCTTTGTCAAAAAGGAATAAAAGCTTCCTGCTCGGGTCACTTCTTGGGGTCTTGATTCTCTTGGGAAGGCTCTCCTGTACATATAAAAATTTAATAAAGTGTATATGCTTTTCTCCTGTTAATCTGTCTTTGTCAGCTTAATTTTCAGACCCAGTCAGGGGCCCTAAGAGGGTTGAGGAAAACTTTTTCCTCCGCTCCACTCCTCACCCCAAGATCCTTGCCACCGCTTCTCCTCATCCCGCACGCACCTTGACCTCTTTCTCCAGGTAGTCACACAGCAGAATCTGGGGGTCGATGAGGTAGTCCGGGGGATAGAGGGGCATGGAGTGCAGGGGCCGGCGGCTCACACTGCTCCGACAGGCTGCCCGGCGCCCGGCCTTGGGGAACACCAGCCTCCGGATGGGGGATACGAAGCCCTGGGGGCGGGCAGGGGAGGAGCGAGGAGATAACAAATAAAATCAGTAACAGGCAACGGACTTTATGGAGCGCTTATCGCGCTCAGTGTTTTCCTTACTTTACCTCATTTAGTTCTCACAAAAAGTCTGCAGAAGGGAGTTCTGTGATCCCCATTTTACAGATGGAGAAACTGAGTCCCTGAGCGGCAACTGGCTGATAAGTTCACCCGCTAGTAGGGGTAGAACCAATAGTTCCCCGTGGGCAGCCTGGCTCCCAAGCCTCCATTCTAAACACCCAGGTAAGGGCGGAGGCCCTGCCTAGGCCCAGGCTTAAGGAATGGGCCAGTCTGGGGCAAGTACAGAAAAACATTAGGATTCAATGTGGCTGGGTGGTGCATGCAAAGGTATTTGTTAAGCTATTCCCTATACTTTCCTAAAAATTAGAAGTAGTAAGTACATTTAATGTAATCCAGCGGCACATGCATGATAATGGCCTGGAGCAAGGGAAAAGAGCAAATCCCAGGGCCCCAGCCCAGCCCAACGGGCATCTCCTCTCCCAGGAAAGTGAGAGCACTACTCTAGAGCTGCAGTTCCCAGTGTGGTTCCTGGGTCACGAGCAGTAGCTGCACAGCATCACCTGGGAACTTGAGAGAAATGCACATTTCCAGACCTACTGAAATGCCCCATCCTAGACCTACTAGATCACAACATGGGGGTGAGACCCAATGATCTGTTTTTTTGTTTTTGTTTTGTTTTTTTTTGAGGAAGATTAGCCCTGAGCTAACTGCTGCCAATCCTCCTCTTTTTGCTGAGGAAGACAGGCCCTGAGCTAACATCCATGCCCATCTTCCTCTACTTTTTTTTTTTATATATGGGATGCCTACCACAGCATGGCTTTTGCCAAGCAGTGCCATGTCTGCACCGGGGATCCAAACTGGCGAACCCCGGGCTGCCGAGAAGCGGAACGTGTGAACTTAACTGCTGCGCCACCAGGCTGGCCTCATGAACTGTGTTTTAAGAAGCACTCAGGTGATTCTGATGCATGCCCAGCTCATTTTAAAACTAATATCGTGTAGCCTGGATGAGGCATATGGAAGCTCTGAGAAATGAGAACAAAACATCTCATTGGAAAGGGCATTGCAATCAGAGGGCACAGCATGTGCAAAACCCTGGAGGCTGCAAGGGCCCGGTGCACATGAGCCTGGAGAAGCTGTGTGTAGACCACTGTGGCTGAATTATGAGATGAACAACTCATAGAGGCCTTGAATGCCAGCTATGGAGCTGGGACTTTATCCTGTGTGTGTGTGTGTGTTTGTGTGAGTGGGATGGGGAGGTAAATGTTTTGTCTGTGGCCGTGAATGGTCCAGCCCTGCCCACTTCTCCAGCCTCATCTTACCCCATACTGCCCCTCTCTCCTGCCCTCCGGCTATAGGGCCATCTTTCAGGCCTTCCTCCTTGCTACATCATGGGGCTTTTGCACATGCTGTTCCTCTGCCTGAAACACTCTTCCCTACCTCCTTTCCTTCCACCCATCAGATCTCAGCTTAGACCGACCAGTCTAAGGATGAATCCCCTAATGTTCTGTCTCCCAGCACTGTGTATGGAGACTTATGCAATTTTACATTAATTGCTTTAAAAAAAAATTAGTAGTTGCCTCCCCCACTAGACTGTGAGCTCCAAAGAGGAAGCAGGGCCCCTGTTTGACTTTGTTCACCTCTGCATCACCACCAGCACCAGGCACGGTGCCTGACACTTAATAGGTCCTCAGTAAATACCCATAGAAGGAAAGAACCAAGAGAGAGTGTGCACGTATGTCTTAAGTCCCTTCTGAGCCCTCCTGATTCCCGTGGGAGCCTTTTAGAACAGCCTGAGCTAGGTTTCCTGGGGGAAGAGGGCTCCATGCGGGTGGCGTTGGGGATAGGAGTTGGAACCCGAGGGGGTCCCTGAACCACAAAGACAACCAGGCAGGGTGCCCAGAGAACCAGACTAGAAAACTTCTGAGAGTCAGGAGGGGGCGAGGATCTAGGGGGTGGGGGAATGACTGCAGGCTGAGGCCTTAGACCTGGCCTTTGTATAAAGATGGGCAGGGGTTGGAACGCAGCAGGGCAGTAGGTAGGCGTTTCAAGCCTGGATGGCAGCCTCATGGCACAGAATTGCCCTGGCTGAGGTCTTGTCTGGGGAGACAGGGGAATGGGTCTGTTGGGTGTCTGAATGTCCCTCTGTCTGAAAAGCTGCAGGGAGGAACCACCAGGAACACCAGGAAAGCAGGTTGAGAGTGTCTTCTGACAGATGTATCTGGCTGGGTTTCCCTGGACGGTACCTGTCTGTCCATTCCGGGGACGGCAGAGGCCGCTGAGAGTGGAAGGACAGGTTCGGGAGTTTGGAGCCTAAATGTCTGGCTACCCCAGGGTCGGGAGGAAGATCCTTCCAAATGAGAAGAAAGCCCCTCCTCTGCCCCTCACTGCTCAGCCCCCACCCCAGGCTTCCCACTTCCCCAGCTCCAGGCACGTTTCTCTACCCTGCATCCCTCCCAACCTCCCACCTACCTTTTTCCCTTTCTTGACTTCATATTCCATGGCGAAGCGTCCCCTCCACTCCTGCTACCCTCCTGGACACCCCCTCCACCCTCTCCCCCACACAGTTCCTTTGTTCTTTTTCCTGCCTGGTCGGAAACTCCACCAGCCCCGGAGTTCCTGCCCCTCCCGTCTGATAGTCAGCAGAGGTGGGAGGGGGTGGAGGACCAGCCTTGGGACTCTCCAGCTGAAAAGTGGAAGCCCAGCTATAGCACCTGCCCTGGGGAGAGAGCCTCGAGCTTCCAGCAGAGGGCTTGCTGTTTCGGGGGCTTGGGAGTTGAATAAGGCTGGGGAAGGGTACCCCAAATTGGGAGTCAGAAAATCCTGAATTCCGCCCTTACTTCTGCCACTGACCTTGCTGTGTGACCTTGGAAATGAAATAGTTGCCCCTTTCACAGCCTCAGTTTCCCCCTCCCCTCTATAAATTGGGAGTAAACATCGCCTCCCTCTCTGGGCTGCTGTGGTGAGAAATAAATGAAAGAGTGGGTGGGAAAATGCTTCATAAACTATAGAATACTGTGTCCAAGCAAGCTATGAATCTAAACAATGAATCATTACTACTAAGGGCGGCAGTATGCACAGGTTTTGGAGACAAGCTGTCTGGGTTTGAATCCTGGCTTTGCCACTTACTAAGATTATGACCTTGGGCAAGTCCTTTAACCTCTTTTGCCTCAATTTCCCTGTCTATAAAATGGGCATAACACCAGGTCTGACCTCCTGGTGACCTTGTAAGGACTAAATGCACTTAGAAGAGCTCCTGACACATATGAAGCACTCAGTAAATCTTAACTGTTTCCCTATCTGTGTGTCTGTGTGTCCTGGGCTGTTTTGCTGTCTCTTGGGAGACTATTAGGGAGGCAAGGCTCCCTTTGCGGTTCTGTGCTGAGCACTTGACATATTTCATCTCCCTTATTCCTCATAACATTGGTGTACCATTATTATACCTACCATACAGATTTTAAAGACAGACTCCACTGCCGAGGCTGGCCCAAGGAGGTCACACAGTGAATAGGAGGAGAACCTGGGATTTCTGCCTGGTCTGGATCTGAGGCCTAGTTCCTTACTTCCAGGGCCTGTGTGCTCTGCAGGACCCCCCAGGACAGTTGGAAAAGTCCTAATTGACCCATCCTCCCGTTGCCATGACACCTGGGTTCTGGGGACCCGAGCTCTGGAACTGATCTGCAGTATGATCCAGGGCAGGCTGCTTACTGTAACCTCTCTGCCTCAGCTTCCTCATCTTTCCAAAGGGAACAATAATTCCAAAGCTCCGCCCTGCAGTCCGAGGTGTGGCAAGAAAGACGTCAGGCTGTGCAGGAGATAGCAGCCCTCAACTGAGAAGAGCAGGGGCCAGCGCAGAGGACTGTTTTTAAAGTTTTTTCTGGAAGCTGGGTGTCCAGGTCAGTGCCCGTTGGAGGGAGGGTCAGAGCTCCCTGGGTGTGAGGGCCGCAGGAGACTCCCAGCCACCAGCCTTCCTGCTTCCCTCCTTCAGGGAGGGGAAATGGCCCAGGCTGCTTGGTGCAAACTCACAGAGCCACTCCCTCCTGCTCCCCTACATCCTGCCAGCCACCTCCCAGCAGCAGGAAGTGAGATCCCCGTCAGCCTGCCCGGCCAACAGGAAGAGGCCAGGATGTGGGCCCCAGTCCCCGACTCTGCTCCGGAAATCATAACTCCCACTTAACCCCTTGAGCAAGTCCCAAATTCCCACCCTCAGAGTGGCGGCAGGAGATGAAAGGTGGTCTCTTGCTCTTGCAAGTCTCTTCCTCTCTCTGAGCCTCAGTCTCCCTATCTGTAAAATGGGGAATTCTATTATGCCTGGACTTCCTCCAAACATTGCTGAACTGCTGAGAATCTGAAATAGGACAAGAAGCATTCCAAATGCCACTGAAAGAGCAAACTATCTCTGTATTCTCTGCAGTGCCCACCCGGGGCCATGAGCAGATCAAGTGCCTAGTAAATGTCAGTGGAAGTGGGTGGAAACAGGTGGACCCAGGTTCAAATATGCATGACCTTGAATGAGGTAGTTCATCTCTCGCAGCCTCAGAGTCTCGTGTCAAAAGAAGGATAATGATGGTGCTTGTCTCAGGAGGCTGCTGCAGGGAATAAATGGGAACAGAAGCATACAATGGTAATATCTATTATTAAAATTAGCTCGTGAATTAAAAAAGAGATGAGTAAAATAAAGTCCCTGCTCTCAAAGACTTAACAGTTGCGGGAAATAAAATTCATCTCTTTTGAACCACCTCCAGCTGACTGGCAGGGGCTGCCTGAGTGCTGTGTAGAGGATTATAAAAACCAGATCTACTCCCAGCATGAAAAAGGGATTGATTATCAATGCCTGCCATGGGACCAGAGGGGGCAATGTGGCAGCAGGTGTACAGTGCATATGCTGACCCTGATCTGCTCAGAGAGAAAGACGTAGAAGCAGAGAACTTTGATACAAGGCAAGCGACCTGTTGCGGAAGGCACAATCAGGAGCCATTCACCAAGACCGTGGCAGTCAAGCCAAGCCTTGAAGGGCATATGGAAGGAAGGTCACTCCAGGCAGAGGGAACAGCTTGAGCAAACACACACGGTGTGTGAGTTGCGATGTTTTTGGCTGCGAAGAATAGACTATCTGATCAAAGTTGGCTTAGACAACAAGGAAAATTTATTCTCTCTCAAGGTAAGCAGTCCAATGGTGATTTCAGGGCTGGTTAATCGAGCAGCTCAAAAATGGAATCAAGTTACGTACATTTTCTGCTTTAATGCTGCAATAGGCTGAACTGTGTCTCCCAAAATTTGTATGTTGAAGCCCTAACACCCAGTACCTCAGAATGAGACTGTTTTTGGAGATAAGGCCTTTAAAGAGGTGATTAAGTTAAAATGAGGCTGTAGAGTGGGCTGTAATCTAGTCTGGTGTCCTTCTAAGAAGAAGAAATTTTGGGGCCGGCCCAGTGGCACAGCAGTTAAGTGCACACGTTCCGCTTTGGCAGCCTGGGGTTCTCCAGTTTGGATCCCAGTTTGGACATGGCACCACTTGGCAAAAGCCATGCTGTGGTAGGTGTCCCACAAAGAAAGTAGAGGAAGATGGGCATGGATATTAGCTCTGGGCCAGTCTTCCTGAGCAAAAAAGAGGAGGACTGGCAGCAGATGTTAGCTCAGGGCTAATCTTCCTCAAAAAAAAAAAAAAAGAAGAAGAAGAAATTTGGACACCCAGAGAGGCAACAGGGGTGCGCACGTGAGGAAGACTGGCCCTGAGTTAACATCTGTGCCCATCTTCCTCTACTTTATATGTGGGACACCTACCATAGCATGGCTTGCCAAGCCGTGCCAAACCATGCTGTGCCATGTCCACACCCAGGATCTGAACCCGCAGACTCCGGGCCACCACCGAAGCAGAACATGCGACATGCGAACTTAACTGCTGACACCTTGATCTTGGATTTCTAGCCTCCAGAATTGTGAGAAAATAAATTTCCGTTAAGTCAGCCAGTCTGTGGTATTCTGTTACAGCAGCCCTAGCAAACCAGCCCAGCTGGTGAGAGGGCGGCCGTGGCTTTAGGAGTAATGCATACATGACGCCATCCATCATCAGCCTGCTTTTGATGCCAGCAACCCTGGATGAGGCCAAGGGTTTCCCATCTCCTGCGTCTTTTTATTGTGAAGGAAAATCTTTCCCAGAGATTCTTCAAAAGACTTCCCTTAGGAATCTAGGAGCCAGATGTATTAGGCAGGATGTATTTCGGCTGTAACAAAGGCCCAAATAACAGTGGCTTAAACATGATAGTAGTTTCTCTCTTCCATTACATAAGCAATCCAGGGCAGGTACGGCAGCTCCATGTGTCCCGGACCCAGGGGCTGCCTGTCTTGTTGCTCCACCATACCAAGGTTTTGCTCTCAACTTCAAGATGGCTCTCCACACAGCTGCAGTCCAGTAAGTAGGAAGGGTAAACCCAGCCAGGGGTGAGCACAACTCCTCCCCTTAAAGGGAGGGATGATCTGCAAGTAGCACAAAGTTCTACTGCTCATATTCCAATTGACCAGAGCTTGTTTCCATGGCAATGCCTAAATTGCAAAGGAGGCTGGGAAATGTAGTCTTCTATTCTGGGTGGCCATGTGCCCAGGTAAAAATCACCTTGTAGAAAAAAGGGAGCATGGATACTGGAGACACATGGCAGTCTCTGCCTTACAGATTTGGGTCACATGCCCCTGCCTCCACCAATCCTCAGTCAGGGGAATGATCTTGGACCAATGGTTCCCAAGCTTGGGTGGATATCCGAATCACCTGGGAGGCTTATGAAAACTTGCTGCTCCTGAATTGGCTGATTGGGTAGGTCTGGGGGGTGGAACCTGAGAATCAGCATTTCTACCAAGTTCCCTGGTGCTACTGGTCTGGGGATCACATTTTGAGATCCACTGTCTTAGGCCAATTGTGACTTGCGTCCTGGAGCCAGGTGGGGCGCTACATTCCCTGAGCGCTTGGGCTGGTGGCCCCTAGGGATTGGGGTTCCACCTGCACGAAAGAATAGTGAGAAAGGCCCATGGGTGGCAGCCAGGGGAGGCTCACAGATACAGGGAGATGGGTGGTTTGGAGAGGCTATGAGGGCCGGGCGGGGTAATGTTGGAGAGGAGGCTCAAGAGGTACTTTGGGCCCAGGTTGTGAAAAGGCAGCATCAGGCAAAGGGTTTGCCCTTTATCCTGAAGGCCCAGGGGAGCCATGGGAAGTTCCAAAGCAAGGAAATGTCATGATCAGGTTTGTGGGAAGAGGCATTCAAGCAGTAGTCCTCAAAGTGAGGTCTTCAGACCCCTTGTGCCAGAATCCCCTGGAGAACCTTTAAAATGCAGATTCCCAGGCATGCTCTGTACACTGGTTATGGAGATGGAAATCTGCATTTAAAACAAGCCCCACTGAGGGCCGGCCTGGTGGCGCAGCAGTTAAGTTCGCATGTCGCATGTTCTGCTTCGGTGGTGGCCCGGAGTCTGCGGGTTCAGATCCTGGGTGTGGACATGGCACAGCATGGTTTGGCACGGCTTGGCAAGCCATGCTATGGTAGGTGTCCCACAAATAAAGTAGAGGAAGATG